TAAATAAATAAAGGAATGTGGCAATAAGATATTTGGGGCCAAAATTCCTTTATTATGACAATATAAAAGGTATTAAAACAAATTCTAGATGCTTTTCGCCCACAATAGGCTTCTTCAAGTAGAATATAATAAAAACAGTAACCTGACTTACAATGCTTTATGTATTAAATGTATTGGAATTAAAATATTCCCTCCAAAATGACGTAATCACAAACTTAATTATAAAATACATATAAAAATAGTATAACAATAATATAGACATCATGTAAAAATAGTATGCTATTTTTACATGATGTCTATTATTTTTATACTATTTTTATATGTATTTTATAATTAAGTTTGTGATGATGTCATTTTGGCGGGAATATTCGAATTCCAATACATTTAATACACCCTATATAAAGCATTGTAAGTCAGGTTACTGTTTTTATTATATTCTACTTGAAGAAGCCTATTGTGGGCGAAACGCGTCTAGAATTTGTTTTAATACCTTTTATATTGTCATAATAAAGGAATTTTGGCCCCAAATATCTTATTGCCACATTCCTATTTTTATTTATTTTTATTTCTTAACCTGACTAACTTGGATTAACACGAATTTATGAAACTCCAAAAGAATCCTTAGGTGGGGATTATACCACCCATACGCTATAATTTGAGCAGTGAGGTCTGCTCAATATATTGTGAGTACATTTCATACTTCTTTTCAATTTATATTCAAATCATACAGTGAGCACTATATATTTTCTATCTGTTCTAATTTTCGGTCGGAATTCTTGGTGGACCACCTATTTTCAAGCTACAACTCCATATATCCTTGAGTGGGGATCATTCCACTTCACGCACTTCATACCAGAGCTTGATTTTAGCTCTGGAAATTGTGAGTAATTCCAATTTATTTTATTTTATATATATATATATATATATATATATATATATATATATATATATATATATATATATCTTCATACTGTACCATTGGTTCTTCTCTTTACTTCTCTCCATATATGGCTCATTGAAAATACAAGTCATTTGGGATGAATCATCGTTATTCTACAAGAACGTTCTCCATTTACTGTGGACTATTACCTTGGACTTTTAATATATTTTTTATTTTATATATTTTTATTAAAGGCGTGCCCTCTTTCTTTAGTTTTTTCGTTTCCTACTATGAAATATTGTCCATTATATTTTAGCAGCTGTAGGACGATACTCTTTCAGTTGTATCACCCATGGTCTGTACAGATCATGGTTGCCAAAGTCTGTATCTTGGGTAAGTGGATAGTTCCATGATGCAGGAAGTGCTAGTTCCTTTGCAAAAATGGTTAGTTTTTATAATAGAATTTTATTCCTATAGATTAATTTAGGCATATTTGTTTTGTTTTTACCTTACAATGTATTTTTAATTTTACTTAAAGGACCACTGTAGGCACCCAGACCACTTCAGTGGTCAATGAAGTAGTCTGGGTGCCAGGCCCCTCTAGTTTTAACCCTGCAGCTAAAAACATTGCAGTTTCAGAGAAACTGTTATGTTTCATTGAGGGTTAATCCAGTCTCTAGTGGTTGTCTCCCTGACAGCCGCTAGAGGCGCTTCCGCGATTCTCACTGTGAAAATCACAGTGAGAAGACGTTGGACGTCCATAGGAAAGCATTGAGTAATGCTTTCCTATTGGAGGTTTGAATGCACACTGCTGTTGCCGCGCATGCGCATTCAGATCTGACGTCGGCAGGGGGTAGAGGGTTCCCCAGCACAGAGGGAGCCCCGCGCTGAAGGGGGCCCTGATGGTGGGGGGGACCTAATGATCCTATAGTGCCAGGAAAATAAGTTCTTATTAACGCTTTATTTTTATTATTGTTTTTTCACTGTACAGGTGAATAGGGAAATGAAAGAGCCTGTTGTAAAGAAAGCATCTTCTAATGGTAAGTTTAGTGGCACAGCACACACAGCCGTGCTGGAATCAAACCGTCACCCACTCATGCACACGGTCACCCGCACAAGCAAACCTATTTATACGGTGCTAAGTTTTGCTTAGCCTGGGCTCTTCATGCAAGCCATTGCCACACCTGCTCTTTTCTGGTATTTCCTGGAAGTCAGGAGAGAGCTTGAAGTAGATGTACTGCACAATTCACAAATACAGGGAGAGTGCTGGTGTGCCAACACAGACTGAGCCCGACTTAGCACAGTGAACTATAAATCACACAGGCATTGAATGGAGAGGTTTTTTAAAAGTTCATTTGGTTTTAAAGCTAAATTACCCTAACATAATGGAGTGTCTTATTGGTTTAATATGCATTTGACAGTGCCACAAGGAGCAATTTCGCCTGAAAAACTTTATGGATTGATGAGTGATAAAAATATTAACATTATTATCATGGATGCTCGAAGTGAGAAGGATTTTAAAGAGTCTCACATTAAAGGTTCCATAAGTGTGCCAGAGGAGGCTATATGTCCTGGGTAAGTGTACAAGAGACGGCTGTAAGTACTAGGTAATATGTCTGTACATTTAAATTGCTTAGAGTTACTTTATTTATATGTCATGTGTAGGTACACCGCACAAAAGATTGAAGGTAATCTTCCTGAGGCATCAAAAGAAGATTGGAATAGAAGAGGTCATACAGATTACATTATATTACTAGACTGGTTTAGTTCTGTGAATGACTTAAAGCTGGGAACTACTCTTCAAAGTCTAAAAGATGCACTTTTTAAGGTGAGCATTGTAAGAGGGTTTATTTGGTATTGTGTGTGTCATAACTCCATTCTAATGAGGCTATTAAGAATCTGATGTATCTAAAGATACAGTTTATTATATAGACTGTGCATGTGTAAACAGGGCAGTTTTACATTTAGAATACATTGCTAGCTCTTTGTCTCTTTGCTTCTATCAATACCTGGAGCTAAAGGTAATAAAATGACAAGAGCAGACCAAGACCGCCAATAGCTGCATTCTGAAAGTGAAAATATTACACAGAGAGAGCCCCTACAATGTGCTTGTCCTGTAAGAGATGCTTTGTTTCAGCAATTATAAAGTGCCTATTTGGAGCTTTAGTGGGCTGATGGATACCAGAAGCCTTGACCAACGTCCCCTGTAGTCTAGTTTTTTTAGACTTTTTTATTTTTTATGCCAGTATCACTTAACCTGCCATTTATTATTATGGGGAAGAGTGGGGGAAGGATGTCTTAGCATTGTTTTTTATAGGCACCTAATATGTAACTTTTGCTCTGGCTGGGACAGACTTCTTGCTGCAGCCACATGTCCTCCAATGAAATCATCAGTTCTGATGTCTTTTTTTTTTTTTTTTTATCCAGTTCAGGGTTTTTAATAGAGTCAGAGAGAAGCATTGGAGACATAAGGCACATGTACGGCTATGACCTGGCCAAGCTCAAATATTTGTGTTGCGAGTTTGAATAAATCAGGGACTTACCTGGCACCCGAAGACCGCACCTAGAGTGGGCTGCCTATCGTTGCCAACCAAGGTTGATAACCTTTTTATGGATAACACGGAAGTGAAACATCCATATTATCTCTGTGGCTGGTTAGGGACTGGGCTCTGGATACAGAAAAATCTGTTTTTTTTGTCTATAGGGGTTTGTTATATAGTGCCCCTTAGCATAGAAAAGCACATTTTGTTTAGGGATTTTCTTGCAAATTATGAAGCCTATAAACTCAAAAATGTAGAGAAAATACCATCTATTCATACAAACTGCATCTTCGAGTAGAACTACTATATTTGTTACTCTTAATGTGATAAATATTGAAATGTCTGCATCCAGTTCCCTTACTTTTGTGTTGTGTCCTTTCAAAAAAATTACCAATATAAATAAATTATCCTTAATAGGTTTGCAAACCTTATTCTTTTTCCATTATGGACATTCAGAAAGAGCTGAGATTGCAGATGCTTTGTACATTGAATTGGGTTTAAATGAAAGAATAAAATATAAAATAAAAATAAAGTGGTTACACATCCTTGTGACTGAATATGGGCAGATATCCCTAATAGGTTCAGATATTTAGAATTTGATACACGTGAGACAATAATGAACATTGCTTCTTATGCAGTATATGAAATTCCTGTAAGGAATCAAATCTTTCTCTTGTAATCCGAGATTAATTCACATTCTGTCAGACATTGTTTTGTCCTTTTAGTGTTGCTATGTGACTTGTTATAGATGTTTTATTTATTTATGATTATATGTGCAGTGGGAAACCAAGACAATCCTGCAAAGTGAGCCTTTTGTGTTGGATGGTGGTTATGAAAACTGGCTACTTTGTTATCCTATGTACACAACAAATGGCAAAGTATATGTGCCCAAGAGAAGTAAAACCGAATCATTTCCTTTGTTATGTAAGTTGCTTTCAAGCTATTTTTTCTTTCTTCCTCATCACTTTTATTTTTTTTGTAATGATGCAAACTTCTTTGTCATACTGCTATAGATAATTTTATATTTATATATATTTTTTTATTTATATATATATATATATATCTCAGACTCCACTCATTCCCCTTACCCCCCCCAAAAAAGTGTGTACAAAAAATACTACTGTATTCAGGAGAGTGAAAACAAAATAATGTGCAAGTACATATGGCCTTGGATGCTCTAACCACAATAAATGTTTTTAATGTCATTTGTGATAGACACATTTTAAGTATCAGGCAGGTGGAGAGAACATTGGTCTGTACAGGGGTAAATAAAGATGGATTATAATATATATATATATATATATATATATAATATTACTATACTATATTCTGGTGGGTAAGTGGAGCAGGAAAGGAAGTCTTTAAAAAAAAAAAAAAAGGTAAAAAAATGTTTTACTACCAGAAATAAGCAGATGTGTTGGTGGCCTTGCGGGTAAGTGAAGGGTACAATGAGGCCAACAATGTCTAGAAGAGACTTACTGGATACCGCACTCACCAAGTAACCCAGGGCTGGCCAGGTCTCCCTTCCAAGATATGCAGAATAAAGAACGGTTCAGGCACTCCGGGATAACTAAAATAGCAGCTTTATTGGGGCAAAAGCAGCAATGTTTCTACCCTGGCTTGATAAAGACCATGTAAGGTCGAAACATTGCTGCTTTTGCCCCAATAAAGCTGCTAATTTTGTTATCCCGGAGTGCCTAAACGATGTCACCAGAGTTATTAAACCATGCGTATCACAGATGTCATGTCAGTGTGCTTTAGGTGTGTCCTGAAGAATTCTTAGCTACCATTCCTAAAAGAAGCAAGCAGACAAACTTGGAAAGGGGCATTTCCCTTGCCCATGTTCTTTCTGTGTCTGTGCAGTCAATTTTCTTAGGGCTAGTGCTCTACTACAACAACTTTTGTGGAAATTGGGATGCTATAAAGCCGTGGTCCTCAGGGCCCACCAAGAGTCCAGGATTTATGCATTTCCCTTTTTTTATTCCAATGGAGATACTGACAAAATCTGGACTGTTGGTGGGCCATGAGGACTGGGTTTTGGGAACCACTGCTCTAAAGTACACAAAAATCTGGATTTCCTGTGATTTGCTTTATATTTGTTTAATTCTAGTGAATTTCAGTTACCCAACTCTGGATGAACCCCCAGCTCCTCCCCCTTCCTTGCCAGAAGAACCTCCTACTGTACCTTCTCCTACTGTACCTCATCCTACTGTACCTCATCCTACTGTACAAGTGAAAGAAAATAATGAGATAGCAGCAGTAAAAAAAGTAACCGTAGAGCAACCAGTGGAACCCATTGTGACACCGAAAACCGAGCCTGTTCCTGAAACACAGCGTCCTGACCTTGTGAAAATTATCCCCACTGTAAGTTTGTTTAGTAAGTTTGTTATACTTGCATACAGATAGTGGAGATGTATTGTATTGTAGTGTGTACCTGATAGATATAAATATATATTATTATTTTTTTTTAAATAAAATATCTAATAATAAAAAGAGAAAATGTTCTTTTTAAACGGAGCAATACATTTTTAAGCCATTACTTTTTTGTTTCAAAATCTTTCTTTGAACCTTAGCATAGCTAATGAATAAATCGATTTAACAATATATTATAAAATATGTTATGATGATCTTAATTGAAAAATTTAGAAAACTTGATAGATTCATTTTAAAAGGACACTATAGTCACCAGAACAACTACAGCTTAATGTAGTGGTTCTGGTGTCTGTAGCCTTTCCCTACAGGCTATTTAATGTACAGAATTTGGTTAGAGAGCCTAGTTTGATAGGCCATTAGCTTAATTAAACGTTTAGGGGGTTGAGAAATCTCTGATAGGAGTTTCAGACAATAAAGTCCCACATTGGAGGCATGCTAAAGAAACATTGAAAAAACATTAATAAAACAGAGAGAGAGCAAATGTAAATAAGACAACGGGAAAAAAAGGCACTGAATATGACCCATTATAGGGTCCAATCAGTTTTGGAGACATTAACAAATATGACTTTAACATACTATTCCCACTGTCATTAGTTTGATCGCACAACGAAACCTTTTCTGAAAGTAAACGACAGTCCTACAAAGATCAAGAATGACGCCAAAGAAAACCAACCAGTACAAAATGGAGTCATTATCCCAGACCGTTCAACAAAGCCACCTCTAGATTCTAAATCCATGAAAACAGACTCACATGTTGTATTGGAAAAAAATCTGCCAGACAAACAAGACAAGGTGGTCGGGAAACTTGATGACTCTACTGATCATATTGGAAGCATTCAAGATGAGAACAAATTAAAAAAGAAAGCAAATGACAATGAGCAGGAGGCAGCAAGTCATAAAGAACAACTAGAGAAGAAACGCCAAAATGCTTCTGAAAAAGATAATACTGAAACTAAACGGTTAGATGCGGACTATAAACCATCAGATGAAAAGAAGAGAGATCCAAGCACATCAGAAATTTCAAAGAAGGTAAGTGTGTTCCAGATGCTGTCAGTATTATGGTATGGCACTCCAGTCAGATTAGTATGAAAATGTGACTACGGTTTGTAAGTCATGGAACAGGGTACACCTATTTCCTCCACCATTGATGCATAGACTTATGTGCAATACTGGGAGTTCTAATATGTTAAAGGGTGCCTTTAAAAATCTTCAAAGGTATTGTGGTTCCTTTATTTGTAATTTGTACACCCATCATGTGATTAGGAACATGTAGGTGTTTGCTTCATTATGATGAGTTCTCAGGCCAACTAGTAAATGCGTCATTATGTTAGTGCCACAGTTTTCTAGGAAATCACGGTCTTGTTTTTGTTTGTTTTTTTTAACCTCACAGTACAAATCTAAAACGTTAATAGGGTCCTTCTAAACCAAGCTTGCACTGAAAATGTGCTTGTTTTATATCAACACAAATAATTTGCATGACATGATTATTTTAGTTTTTGCATATTGTAACTCACAAAAGGAGCCTCAAGTTAGGAAGATGATGCCAGGTGCATGCTGTTTCAATCACAAGATTAATAAGAAAACTCTACTCCTGTTTGGAGTGTCTGTTAATACCAAGTGGTCATTGGTACCATTACTCTATAGCTTGTGTGTTTTTGATCAATCAGCATTTTACTTTTTACAGTACTTTTATGATTATTTATCCAGTTTCTGTTTGAGTTTGTGTTTCATTGTATTTTCCAGCCTGATACATGTAAACGCAAGCAAGAAGATGCTGATGAAATTGCTGAGGAAGAGATTGCTGAAGAAGACAGACGTAGGGTGTGTACTAATTTCGCATTTAGATATACATGGAATCTAATGTACACTAGCTTCTTTTCATATACCATTAAACAGTTTTGTTTTGTGCATGAAAATTTTTTTTTTTCTACTTTAGTTTCACAGCATGTGTTTTCATCTTTGCCATTTAAAAGTAGCTTTTATAAGCACTTCAATAGACTAACTTTACTTTTCACCAAAAGTGTCTTTGGTAGACATTATCAGTTTTTTCCCATTTTACACACAAATAATCAGTCATCTTGTAGAGTCCTGCCCTAGAGTAGCTGTGAAAGATGGTAGTTCAAGAGTGAAATAGTACTTGATTTAATTACTCTGCTAACCTTATTTATGCATAGCTAAAAGGGTAGTAATGCTAGAGATGTTCAATATATCTAAATTAACTTACATCTGCAATTATTTCTAATCCTGTTAATCACTGTATATTCAATTACTGTTGCTATGAAGAGTTTTAACATTGGTCACATTTTCCAGAGGGATCCTTTAGTACGAGCTAGGAGTGAAGAGATGGGGAGAACCGTTCCAGGGATGCCAGCTGGTTGGGTCAAGGTAATGCATCTTTTACTATAACTCTGCACTATTTGTTCCTTCTTTTATATGGTTGTGGATCATGTGAACATATCAGAAAGGAGAGGCAGGTTTCAGATTCTGTTTTCTGACTTTTTTTTTTTACTTTTTGCCTCTATAGTTTCTTGATGCTGTAACTGGCACATATCGCTATTATCATTCCCCAACCAACTCGGTTCACATGTATCCACCTGAAATGAGCTCTTCTTCCATTCCGTCAACCACCACTTCAACTGCTCCAGTTCAGAAAGTCAAACCTCAAGCTCACACTGAGCCAGAGCCAAGCAAGTTAAAGCGCTCTTACTCCTCACCAGATTTAACGCAGGCTATTAAGGAAGAGGAAAAGAAGAAACCAGTGCCAATTATAAACCGGGAAAATAAGTAAGTGCCTACTTATTCTACTTGTGTGTTGATACTATGTTCCATATCTAAATGATAATTTAAGGTATAGCAAGATGCTTTAGAAACTTATATTTCTTTAATCTAATTTGAAAAGACCTGTCTGTTGTAGATAATGTATTAATATCTACAACTGGCTTAGAGAAGCAGTCGCCTAAGTTATTTCTAGACAAGAAGGTGACATTCATTTTCAAGGCACTACCATTTACACACCTTATATCTAGACCTGTGATGTATAATCTGTGGCACTGCAGATGTTGTTCAATACATTACCAGAAGGATGGATGAGTCTAATTCGAAATGTTGCGCACAGCGGCTGCCATGTCAGAGGTTAGCTTTGACAGATCTGTTTGGGATCTATTCTTACTATTTTACCTTAAATAAAATGTTTTCTTACTACTTTTATTATATGATTTGAGAATATGTTTCTATTTTGCAGACCAATAACTCACACTAAGACTGAAATTACAAAACTTTCTGCATCTAAGCTGCGCAGTATGAATCCGGCATTTGGCGGGATGGGCCCGGCGCTCACTGGACTAAGAAACCTAGGGAATACGTGCTACATGAATTCAATCTTACAGTGTCTCTGTAACACCCCTCGCTTAGCGGAATACTTTCATAAGAACTGCTATGAAGAAGACATAAACAGGTATTTAACAATATGAGAATTAATTTTGTAATGTTTTCTAAAACGATAGCAAGATATTTGCTGGATTTCCATGAAGGGGCACGCAGGGGAAATGCAAGGCACTGCGGATATGCATGCATCTTTAACTGTATTTATTTTTCAAGGGTTGTTTTGGCTTTTCTCCTCTGGCCCAATTTAGATGATATGCAGAACCTTGAAAAGTCTATAAAATACTTTCTTCAGTAAATAGCTGTTTGTATGTATATGATATATATAAATGTTTAATTTCTCATTAAATTAAATATTTTTTTATGTAGGTGCAATCTGTTGGGTTATAAAGGTGAAGTAGCTGATGAATTTGGCTGTATAATGAAGGCTTTGTGGAATGGTCAATATAAATGTATAAGCCCAAGAGACTTTAAAGTGACAATTGGAAAAATAAATGATCAGTTTGCTGGATATAGCCAACAGGATTCTCAGGAGCTGCTGCTGTTTTTAATGGATGGGCTACATGAAGACCTGAATAAGGTAAGATTTTATGGGTCTTGTTTAACAGTATTAAAAAAAGAACATGATCTTTTAGCACATGTCCTTGGAATGACAGCAGTGATTCTTTTAAAAGACCACTCCAAACAGCACTCCATAACCACAACCCCCCCTTCCACTTCTTACACGGGGACCACTGCTTGGAGTTTTTTTATGTTTTTTTTAAATGGGCTTAGGTCAAGTCTAACATGTTTTGTTTTGCTAGAGCCTACCTCGAGTAAATCATTTACTACAGTACTATTTTATTTTATTTTTTTAACC